GCTGTTCATTTCATTCTCATATCAGTATGTAGTGTCTCTACTTTAAAGAGTCCTCTCCTGCTGATGTTCAGGTGTATATCAGTATGTAGTGTCTCTACTTTAAAGAGTCCTCTCCTGCTGATGTTCAGGTGTATATCAGTATGTAGTGTCTCTACTTTAAAGAGTCCTCTCCTGCTGATGTTCAGGTGTATATCAGTATGTAGTGTCTCAACTTTAAAGAGTCCTCTCCTGCTGATGTTAAGGTGTATATCAGTATGTAGTGTCTCTACTTTAAAAAGTCCTCTCCTGCTGATGTTCAGGTGTATATCAGTATGTAGTGTCTCAACTTTAAAGAGTCCTCTCCTGCTGATGTTCAGGTGTATATCAGTATGTAGTGTCTCTACTTTAAAGAGTCCTCTCCTGCTGATGTTCAGGTGTATATCAGTATGTAGTGTCTCTACTTTAAAGAGTCCTCTCCTGCTGATGTTCAGGTGTATATCAGTATGTAGTGTCTCTACTTTAAAGAGTCCTCTCCTGCTGATGTTCAGGTGTATATCAGTATGTAGTGTCTCTACTTTAAAGAGTCCTCTCCTGCTGATGTTCAGGTATATCAGTATGTAGTGTCTCTACTTTAAAGAGTCCTCTCCTGCTGATGTTCAGGTGTATATCAGTATGTAGTGTCTCTACTTTAAAGAGTCCTCTCCTGCTGATGTTCAGGTGTATATCAGTATGTAGTGTCTCTACTTTAAAGAGTCCTCTCCTGCTGATGTTCAGGTGTATATCAGTATGTAGTGTCTCTACTGTGACATGTCTCCAGGCTTTAATGTTCAAAAAGCTCTTTATTTTTCTCATACTGCCTGTGCTGCAGCACCTCTTTTCACCCTCTGTCTAAAACCAGAGCCCAGTCTGCTCTGATTGGTTAGCTGGCCGGCTCTGTTGTGATTGGTCAACCATTAGAGATGTCCCGCCCCTTAGCCTATCACTTACAATGTGTTGGAGCTCTAGCCAATAGAAGATCGAGTGTTACATAGTGATGTCACTTTGTTAGGGATGTGTGAGAGAGAGGGTGTTTCTCAATGGCGAGTAAAGCTGCTCCAGAACCACTATTTCAAGCATACTACGTCATCAAGTCCCGCCGAAGGACTGTTCCAATGTCCAGCATACTTGGAATTCTACCGAGCCCGGCGTACTCCGTTTGTAGCGAGAAATATCGAGGCTGCACATGTGTAGACTCCGCGGTCTTAAAATCCCCACAATGCTTTGCGCACGGACCAATTTCCCCAAATCTGTGGCGGAAAATGTAAGGCGCACACCTGCACACTTGCTCACCTGTTCCACTCTTCGTTTTCTGAATGCCAGGAAGTATTCTTGCCTCGCTTCTGAAGCAAGTGACTCGGAAGACATGTGCTACCAAGCAAGCGTACTCGACATTGAGAAACACCCACAAACTCCCTCTGGAAGGAACACAGGGATTTTAACTTTTACAGACCATTTACATGCACTAAAACCTATATAACACACGACAGGGAAGGCAAACCCCCCAAAAAGCCCCAAATAGGGTCTCTTTGACATCGATACACCAGCATCTGAAAAGTTAAACAGCTTGTTAGTCATTCTCAGGACAAAACTAGAAAGAAAAACACAAGACAAATTGGCTTAAATGCTTTTATAAAGCACCAACCCTTTTAAAGGTGTCTTGAAAATGTGCAAGTCTTCAATCTCCCAAAGGCTTTCCTAAAAAACGGAATGTCTGTGTGAGAGAATGAAAAGGAAGCAGCTTCTAGAAGGTCACGGGGTTCACGCTCACATCTGGGCGAGTGTTTGGCAAACGGCATTTGGGAGAGAAAAAGTAAAAAGTTAATAATGAAAGAGTAAAATAGTGCATCGATTAGAAGGTAACTTTTAAATACCATTTGATTCAACCTTTTAATATATTAAGGGGAAATACATCTAAAGAATTTTAGAAGCTTAGACAGGGAGGTGCAGAGACATTTACGGGTGATTTTAGGAGATTTTAGGTATCACCCATCAGCCTGAATAGTGAAAACATTTGTACATTTTAACCACTTTTAAGAATAACTAAATAACAGGAAATGACACACTTTGAATTTGTAACTTAGCATAAAAGCTCAAGTCCAAAGTAACCGGGTGAATTTGCAAATGCACCTTTTATTCGCCCCTGCTATAGCTGTTTTTTGTTTTGGGAAATGCTCTGTGAAGTGTACACAACTGAATACATTATTCAAAGAACCAAATTATGCTAATATTCTGCTTTTGCCCAGCATTGTGTACACCTTGGCTACTGTGTAACACACTGCTCTAAGATGAGGTATTATCATAATAATACTCATCATTACAAGCTGTATGCTGGGGTCCTTTATTTTGAGGCGTGATAGACCCTGGGCCTTTCTCATTTCTCTCATTTCTATATCCAGTCTCTGATGGTGTTACGTTATTATGAGAGTGCTCTCATACTTGTTTGAATCTGAAATTGTATTTATATAAATATATATATGTGTGTGTATATATATGTCCGCATCTGTGGCCTGTCATTGTCTCATTATACCGCACTGTGAATGAATTCAAAGTAAATAAGTCGTCATGAACACAGTTCTGTCCATCAGACAGAGTGCTGCTGTGACTCCTGTCATCATTAATGGACGTCTCTTTAAAATGACCGCTCTGAGGAGAGGATTTCTCATTTCTCTAAACGCCTGCTGCTTCCCCTCCTCTCGGTTCCCCTCCTCTCTCCTCCACTCGCATCTCCTGTGGGCGGGACTAAGACACGAGGATAGGAGTCGAGGAGGGGAATTCGAGAAATGAGAAAGGCCCCCTATGTTTAATTTATTTATTAGACCCATGGTTTTATCACCTTAAATTGCCTTGGTTTTTTTGTTGTTTAATGTGGGCACAGTGAATGAGTGAGTGAAGCTTTTTGAACGTTAAAGCATGGAGACATATCACAGTAGAGACACTACATGTCTCTACTTAGGGGAATTCATCCACAAAAAACACACTGGACGCTGCACTAGGTCAGAAACCAGAGGACACTGTGAGGTCCACCGTAGACGGACCACTTTCTGTCAAAATGTTCTATCAATTAAGGGCAGCTCTTTGTGGAATAGCCTCCCTACTGAGATACAGGATTGTCCCACTTTGAACAGTTTTAAAGGTCAACTAAAAGAATGGTTGAGAAACAAACAGACGTGTAGATGCACTTTAATACAGGGGCATCTCCTCTTGCACTTGATGTAGCCCTTTTATCTTCTCCTGCACTTTATATTTCGTAGCTGCTACATTGTACTGCCATGTGGTAAATGCTTATATGCTGCTCTTGCTCTTTCTGCATATCATGTATTTATTTTTCTATGTATATAAATGTCATGTTCTTAAATGTTGTATGTGAGGGACTACGGATGGAAACTAGCTCAAAGCTAAAATCCGGCATGTTTACGTTTTTAAAGCATTATTTGTTTTAAATGTTAAACTGTCCCTCTTCAAATAAACGATTAAATGAAAAATGAAAAACATACTAATATGAATCTGAAAATAAGCGTAGTATGTCCTTCAAGTTTACGTCATTTTATCATTTTCAAAACTCACTGTTCAATAAAAGAACATTTTACCTTGAAAATCAATGCATTCTAATAGCGGGTCAATTTGACCCAGGTGGCGGTTTTAGGTATACAAAAACCTCTGGCGGTTCTAGTGTTAAGTACATTTTTATATATTCTTTTAGGTAATTAATTTGCTTAAAAGTTGAATTGCTTTCCTTATTAGGGTTTCATCATCTTATTAAATTGGCTTTTTGTTTCTTGGAGTTTTCTCTCTTTTGTAAACAAGGTCTCGACCCAAATGTATTCATACCAAAAATAAGATGACTATATATACCAAATCATTTGATAGTCCAACACACAGGGATGCTCCTCATGCAGTCAGCTCTTTGAGGCTTATGAAAGTTAAAAGATTGACATGAATGCAGCAAAATACCAACCAATCAAAAGTATAACCTCAGTTTTCAGTCTGTGAAAAATCACCTCAAGACAACGTCAAAAACATGCCAGAGCTAGACTGGAATGTGCTGCGTTCAAAACAAAGATCTTATCCAATTCAGAATCCAAACCTTAATCCAATCAGGAATCTGTGGAAGGACTTCAAAATGCACTCAAGTCTCTATGCAACGTGACAGAGCTTGGACAATAGGACGAGTGTTCAGAAACCCGTCAGACCAATTCCACAAACACTCGAAGCTCAAATTGCTTTCTAAAAAGGTGCTTCAGCTACAGGAGGACGTGAGAATACGTAAGCCACCAGTTATAAATATATATTTAATGTAAACCACTTGTAGTTAGAGTTGCAACGATTTGTAAATGTACTGAAATTATAAAAGCGCTGTTCTAGTCTTCTGCGAGCCAAAGCACCTCTTAAAAAGGCACAATTTACACATTTAAACTGCTCAATGTGGTGCACAATTTGGGGCTAAAATACCTATAAGTTTGTTTTTATCATGAAAAAACAAGATGTTTTAAGACAAATTGTACTTTTAGAAGCTTGGATTTAATTCATTTTTGCTATTTTCTGCTTATTTTTTAAAGTCCCAACCATTAACCAATAAACTAATTGGCAGATCAATTGATACAAATAGTAACGTGCAGCCCTATTTATTGGCAATACTACATTACATTTCTGTGGATCCGTGTCAAAAAGCCTCGATACATCCACCACTAAATCTGGCATTGCAAATAATTAATTCCTTGTGCAACTGGTCTTCCATGTTTGTAGAGGGTTGATACTTCTTATAATCCATCATATTTCTTATCATGCTCCCATCTGTGCAAGCCATTACAAAAAACAGTCAAGTGAGCCAATTCTGCTTTCCAATTGTGGAACTGCTTCTACAGGCTTGGCACAGCAACAGTATCTCACTTTCATATTAAAATAGAAACAAGATTGCGTCATGGATCGTTTTAAAACCTTGAATACCTCAAAATGCACCACAAACAAGAGGAGAAAAACCAGGCCAAATTGCAATTTTAGTGATTTATTTGTACAATAGGAATCGCAATGTACAAATACCCCAGCTCAGATGTAAAGGCAGGAACATAAGAGCATTTTTTTTTTCCTTCTGCTTGACCTGAACATCCCCTGAATCTCACCGAGAGCTTAGACTGATGGAAACAGATGCCAAGAAAATAATGAAAAAAAGCTAAAATAATAAATAAAGCAGCTACAAATTAACATTTACAAGGCGGGAAGAGACCATCCCAACTTAGAGCGTTCAGCAAATTAAAAAAGGCAAAATAAAAACTAAGAAATATCATGTCCCAGATTTAACTGACCAACCTTTATGGCAGTGGAGCTTTATGGCCTCAGTTTAAATAACATATACCAAAGAAAAAGTGAACTCACAGTAGACGAATACAGAAAGGCATATGGTGATATCTCTATCAGGTCCATGCACCTATGCCACTTACATTACTTACATTTACACACCATCCACAGACAATGTTGTGAGCTTTTACACACAAGACAGAGGACACTTTCAATCAAATAAAAAAAAAGTGAAATTCCCTTTTCCACCCCTCCCCCATGTAAAACAAGATTAAACCGCAATGGAGATGAAAGTCCATTTCAAAAACCAAGATCACTTTACATTCACTCAAATGTCCATTAGTAAATCACTAATGCAGCCAACTCAAAAACGTCGTATAAAAATATAACAAAGACTGAAAACTGATGCACTCAACAAAAATATATCTACACAGTCTCAAATGTGGGGTGAAGGGAAGGGGAGGGGGTTCAAGAACTGCTCAAATTTCCAATTTTCTTTCTTTCTGGGGGGATAAGAAGGAATGGATGCTTCACATGATCAAGTCTGAGTCGCGGCGCTTTTTCCCCGCTCTGCCACGGTGACACAGTGAAATCCTCGGGTGCCGTCGGGACCCCTGGGCAGCCTCGTGACCCCCGGAGGAAGACCATCTGCGTTCTGCATCTTCCTCCCCATCATGGGACTGCCCACCGGACTGCTCTCCTGGGACGCCACTTGTTTACGCCTCTGAACCCACGGACTCCCCGAGGGTGTGAGGCTACTGTCCGACGAGTAATCTGCCCAGCGACGCCCCGCCTCAGGGCTCAGACGGCCCTCGCTGGCTAACGGAGACTTGTGGGGGGATTTCCTCTGAGCACAGGGGCTGGCACGGGGGCTCGACCAGGGGCTGTTTCGCGGAGAAATCACAGGACTGAGGTGATTGTTCTGCTGGAAGTTGACCCCTGCGGTGGTGGGGCTGAGCTTGTTGCAGGACTGGGACTTCCTGGCGAGGCGAGGGGACGTCGGGGTGCTTTCGGTTTCCGAGGAGCTGCATGCCGAGTCGTCTCCGTGATATTGGAGTTCACGAACTCTGCTGTTCAGCGAGCGACTTTTACGCATCCCTCCTTCCTCCCGAGGACGCTCTTTCGGGACCTTCTTCTTGGGAGGCTTGGTGCCGATCAGGACCACCTTCAACCTGTGAGAAGAATCAATATATCAACTGTTACTATGTGTTTTATTAGGTAATTTGTCTAGCCATATAATATGTTATGAAAGGATGTTTTTTATTTTTTATTCACAACAATTTTAAGCATCAGTTTGCACGTACTACTTTAAAGCAGATGTGTGTCACTGTAGTTGGCGTAAAGAAGTGGAATTCTTTGCCGAATGAAGAACATTTTTATGTTTAAGAAAATTTATAAAGAAACCGAATTAGATGGTATGAAGTTGACTTTTGATTGTGTTTTATGTTTCAGTATTTGTAAGCAACTGTGACTGAAAGAATATTGCTTTTTTTAATGGTTATTTCATTTTTTTTGTTGTTGTTATTACTTTTTTAAGAAGGGGCAGGTAAAATAAGATTTTCTTCTCCCTGCTCCTTTCCACCATGCGCTATAAACATTTTTTAAAACCAGTATAATGGCGCATTTCCACTACAGTGCGGAGTGCGGTTTAAGCGTGCCATGCCCGGCCCGGCCTGTTTTTGGTTGCGTTTCCACTAGGCGTAGTTCCGGCTAGCGGGTACTTTTTCTCAGTTTTTCTGGCTCTCCAAAATCGAGGTTCTTTCCGGGCCAACAATCGGGCTGAGTATGCTAAACTAGTGAGAGAATCGCTGGCAACTACAACAAAATGAACATATTTGACCGTGATTTAAATTGTAATACACGTTTCAAAATGATGCCGAAGTAACAACATACTGATACCGGTTAGTAAAAACCATGAATTAATGCTTTGACAAGTCTGCAGGCAAAAAACCTTTTAAAATGCGTGTTTCCTGAATGGAGATCGGCTAAGCTAACGTTGTATACAGTATGCTCCGACCGTCCACACACTCACAACGGCCTATACAGACATAAATAAACCAGCGACTGTATTCACCATGACACAGGCAGTCTGTGGTTTGTACTTGTTTAACTTTTGTCTAGTTTCTGAACAGATATGAGGAGCTGTGAGCTCTGACTGCTAACAGCTAACGGCTGATGTTGGTTTTGTGGTTCGCATTGAAGATGACGTCACGGCTCCGCCTACACTGCGTTACTATAGCTACTACCCCAGTTCCTAAACTGTAATGGAAACGCAGCATAAAGTGAGCCTGGCCTACCAAGGCCTAACTATACCGCACTAAGCCGTGCGAGGCCCTGCAGTGGAAATGCGCCATTAGGGTACATGTTAGTTAAAGTGTACATGTTTTGTTTTAAAATAACTGCCATGTGTGGAATAAACAAATAAATAAACTTGACGAGAAGCTTCCTGGATTCTTTTCGGCTACTCCTTCCTCAAATGATAGAAAACGCAACAAACCCCAGGGACCCGGTGCCTCCATCCTCGCACCCTACGGCTTCGTTGGCTTTCACTGCGGCCTCCACCTCCTCAAACTCCACAATGGCGCACTCCTCGGCGGCGAGCTGCGTGTAGCGGCCGCTCAGACGCTTCAGGTCTGCCGGCAGTTCCTTCCCCGGCTTCAGGACTCTGACGGAGGCGATGGCGCCGTACGTGCCGAACTCTTTCAGCAACAGCTTCATCAGCTGCTCCTGCTGAGTGGCCGCTCCTTCGCTGACTCCGTTATCCTTCGTGAGCGATGCTAGCTCCGGCCACTTCTGCAGATCGCTCACCAGCAGCATGCGGCTCGGCAACGACTCGCTGGCAAAGACGGGCACTGCAGATTTACGCCGCACCTTCCGACCCTCCTCGTTCAGCTCGAGCATCTTCGAGTGTCTCAGAGCGTAAGCTGTCGTTCTCCAGTCACGAGTCAAGTGCTTCACCTGCAAAGAGACAACGCTCGTGTTACATGTAGTTTGAGAGGAACATCTGAAAACAATGGAGGTCACATGATGATCCCTACAACTGCTTGACACTACAAGTGGTTGGGTAAATGTTGAGCCTGTTAGACATCACATAGAAAGTCCCCCAGTTCATGACTAACGGTATGACTAATATGTTTTGTATTAAACGTTTTCTGAAAGGCAATGTTAAATCTGCAAATTAGGAATTATTTTGTCAAATATGTGCTAATTTGCATCCGATTCTGTAACAATCAGAAGTGCTGTGCGCCACATGTACCAGTCATTGTTAACCAATCAGAGTGGCCCATGATAGAAGGTGATAGACAGATTGATCCAATCACCTGCCAAGTATTTTTGAAAGTGCCTGCCCTTTCCAAATGGCTTCCAATGGAGCTTTCCTAGATGGTTTGGTGAAACAAACCATCTGAGTCAGGTTAGTAATGCTCCATCACATGTTTGACATCTATTACAGGGTGAGTCTTAAACTGAAGCTTGACTTTAAAGCAACCCAACGGAAGTTTCATGTAAGTTTAGTTTTTTCACTCGTAGCTCTGGCTGTAGGGGTGCTAGAGACGGGAGCACATTGATACGACCTTCCTAGCCGGAGATATGGCCGCATTTTACAATAAACTTCCGTTGGGTCGCTTAAAAACAAATATCGCAAATCGAATCGAAATGCAATATCTGTCAGAAAAATCGCAATTACATTACTTCCCTAAATCGTGCAGCCCTACCATAAGGTAGCATTAGCTTCACAGCAAATATATCTGTTCTCTGCCTTCATTTGAAAAGTGTGTTCAAATGTGCGGCAATTTGTGAGCAAAAACTATGAATTAGAACTAAAGTCGAGTGTCTCAGAGCGTAAGCTGTCGTTCTCCAGTCACGAGTCAAGTGTTTCACCTGCAAAGAGACAACGCTCGTGTTACAGGAGTGAGGTGATGAGTGGTTTGAGAGGAAAATCTGAAAACAATGAGGTCACATGATGATCCCTACAACTGCTTGACAATACAAGTGGTCGGGTAAACATTTGAGCCTGATAGACATCACATAGAAACTCCCCCAGGTCGTGTCTAACAGTAAGACGAATATGTTTTGTATTAAAAGTGTTCTGAAAGGCAATGTTAAATATGCAAATGAAATTACTTTGTCAAATATGGCTAATTTGCATACGTTTCAGTAACAGAAATCTATTAAATCAAGAAATACTGTCAATGGCTAAAAGGCTGTGTTTTTGGGAAACAAAATGTTCTATAAATCAGGATATAAATGCATAAAGGCCTCTGTTATAACCTTCAGAATATAGATTGGAATAAAACTGGAAAGTAGTTTCAGACAGAAGGTGAAAAGAGGTGCTGCAGCTCAGGCAGTATGAGAAAAATAAAGAGCTTTCTGAACATTAAAGCATGGAGACATGTCACAGTAGGGACACTAAATGCTAATATGAACCTGAGAATGAGCATAAAAGGGCCTTTTAAGACAGGTTTCCTCAAGTTTTACGGTTATATATGGAAATGACGCATTTTCTAATGCCAACTTTTGATTTATTGTTGTAAAAAAAAAAAGCCTCAAATGAATTGCCTGAAGCGTCTCACCTTGAGTTATGGAGTTATAGTAAAAAGAAATCAATCACTGACGCCTTCCTGTCGGTCACACTTCCTGAATAAATATCTGGACCAAACATCCTGGTTTCACCTCCATCACTGTATCATCAGCTTGGATTTAAAATGCGTCACCGTGTCCTCAAGCCTTTAAGTGAATCAATGTTTACATTAAAAACGAGCGCGAGTGTTTGGACTTGGATCACTTGTGGCATTAACAGGTTTTTTTTTAAAAACACAACAACCAAACAAGTCTGCATGCACAGGCCAGAGTAACAGCAGCTGTTGTGAATCATTGTGAGAAAAAAAACTCCTTGCACCCCAAACACCTAGTCATGTTGACACTAGCAACAGCCAGTTCAATTCATTTCCCATGACTCTGCACGTCATTGGGAATTAAAAATAGCTATTTTACCTATTTTAAAACATCTTCTCAACCCTGCTTTAACTCCAATGTGTGTATTTTGATCTGCGATCAAATGTGTAGTATGTAAATCTGTGGCTGGACATTATATTCAGTCAGAAATCAGCTCAGGAACATTAATGTGTAACATAATATATCATTACTGAATGTCCACATGAACTCGCCTCCCCCTCAGTTGATTGATATAATTGAGCCGCCTATGGCCTCGGACACATATACAGCAGGAGGTCACTGGTCCCAAAACTACAAAGGCTGTGTGTTCTTTCCAGCAAAATCAGGACAAAGTATTAAAGGTCCCATGTCATGGCCATTTCTACTGATCATAATTCTATTGTTGAGGTCTACTAGAATAGATTTATATTGTGCAATTTTCCAAACTCACATTGGTTTCTCATACAGCATCTCTGTATAGTATGTGTATTCACTCTCTGTCCTAAACGGCTTGTTGGAGCTCCTGCCCCCCCCCTCCCTGTGAGCCCAGTGGCTATCTGCGAGACAGCGAGACACAGCGAAACCCAGCCCGAACACAAATGCACACCCGCAGCCTGGCTGGGAGTTTGTGTGTGTGCTCACACACACACACACACACACACACACACACACACACACACACACCGACTCACAGCCTCGCCACATCCCGCCGTCTCAGGGAGGAGAAATCGGCGGAGCTGCAGCTGAGAAAAGATTGAGTGTGTGTTAACCTAACGGCTCCGCGGACGTAACGTAACGGCTTCACGGATTGGGTCCATTTGGGTATGGGCACGTCACTGTACCCAGGAAGAAAACAATGGAAAAAGAGAAATCTCCAACGAGGCGTTCTGGGGCAGCATAGACAGGTCTTTTCTGTGTTAGGGTTTTACTCGCTACAGGATGTACTTTGAGGGTTTTTGACTCTGCAGACCGTTTACATGCAGAAAAACCTTCATAAACACACAAGGGGACGGGTAATAACCGGAAAAGCATGACATGGGACCTTTAAAGGTCACCTATTATGCAAAATCCACTTCTTCATGTCTCTTCTACATCACCATGTGTCCCCTCTGTGTAAAGAGATTCTGAAAGTTTCAGGAAAAAAGATTCTCTCTCTTTTTGTCCTGATCCATTTATATAAAAACCTGTCTGAAAATGAGCTGATCAGATTTTGTTCACTTTATGATGTCATAACGATTGTCTGGCTTGTGTAACCATTAGCCAATCACCAACCAAGGTAACCCCCCCTCCACCTTATCACCTGAATCTCCTCCTAGAGCACCATTGTGTTCTTTGTAACCAAATGTCTCTCAGAGGGGCGTGGGGAGGGGCTCCTTATTTTCATCTAAAGTAACAGACAGAGAATCAGCACTTTTGAAACAGGGCTGAAACAGAGGGGATTATGGGATGCTGCAATGATCTGTTTGGTATTTGGAGCCAAACACTTCAGAGACATGTTCTGTATATATCTGAGACCTATAATATATTTATGAAAAACAGTGTAATAGGGGACCTTTAAAATACCACCCCCCACCACACACACACACACACACACACTATCAAAGTGTTTTGGAGCCATGGTTACCTTTTTGAAGGAAGTGAGCAGCTTGACGCTCACGAAGCCCAGTTTGTTACGCCGGACGTGTTTCAGCAGGAAGGCGTCGTGCTCCAGGTTCTCGTCCGACAGGTAGTATTCGATCTGAGCCACAAGCTTCTGGATCAGCTCCGAGTCTGGGGGCTGCCAGCTGTCCTCCTCCAGCTCCCCCCCGCTGGTCCCTGCACCGCTGTGTGACGACAACATGGTCAATCAAAGTTTATTTATAAAGCCCAATATCACACATTTTAACATTCGTCTCAAGGGGGTTTTCAGTTTGAACAGAATATGAGTCATGGTCAATCAAAGTTAATTTATATAGCCCAATATCACACATTTTAACATTCGCCTCAAGGGGGGTTTTCAGTTTGTACAGAATATGAGTCATGGTCAGCTCTTCCTGTTGTATCAATAACATTAGAATGCTTTACATTAAAAGTCATTTCATCATGCATTTCTGTTGCACTTTATCTTAATGTTTTACAATGTAGTAAAACACTTTTAACTGACATGTGTTGAAACGTGTTATATAAAAGAAACTTGCCTAAACTTTTTATAGAGCTGCAAACATAAGTCAACACATTGATTATCACCAAATGTGTTTCATACTTTTAAAAATGGCAGAAAAGGAGGTTTTTAGCCACACAAGATTTCATTTCTCCGTTTAAAAAAAATTGTTAAAACCAATGTCTTCTTGCAACAGCATTTTGAAATCCTTTTTGTTCTTTAGGACACAAGGGACTATTTTCGCTTTATAAAGTTCATTATATTTTAAGAAAAACACAGTTTGATAAAGGGCTGCATCACAGAAACTACAAGGAGCACAATCATGGATCTGTGAACTCATAGTTTAAGTTGAATATCAAAAGATGTGCGCACATACACTCAATATGTCGATGTATCCTTGGGCAAGATACTTAACCCTGAGTTGCTCCCGATGGCCAACGGTGTGTGAATGTTAGGTCCTAGAGTAAGCTACACTGCTCTGTATGAATGGGTGAATGACATGTAGTATGTAAAATGCTTTCAGGGGTCTTAAAGACTGGATAAAGCGCTATACAAGTACAGTCCATTTACCATTTACATACACAAAAATGTTTAATATGGAAGACATTCAAAAAATCCCATGTAAGGGTCTTTCCTCAATTTTACAAAAAGATATTGCTCTGACTTTTGACAAAAGTGGATGTTTTTTTATGCCATCTAGAAATGAGTGAAGATATAAATGTATTTTATCAAGTGCTTTTAGAGGTGCTAAAATACAAAGTCTATATTTAAAAACAAGCTAATTATTACTTTCATAAAGTACACGATTTCAAGACTTTAAACCAATTAGAACAACAAAATTATGAGATATAATCTATGTTTACTATCCGTGTTTCTTCTTTATTCTGCTCCTGCTATGACTCCTGAATTTCAACCGGGATCAATTAAGGTCCATCTTATCGTATGTTCACATATGGGTTAAAACCCAATAAGCCAGAGTTTGTGACTTAATAAAAAAAAGACATAATTTAGGCCTTGAGAATATATGATGGACATTTTTCTCTATATTCGGACATTAATAGACTAAACGACGAATGGAGAAAATAATCAATGACGGAAACAATGTCAGGTTGCAGCACTGCTCTCTAACTGTTGCACATTTCCCTTTCGTTAACACAATAAGCCTGAGGATTTGGCAGAAATGCTTCCTCATCCTACATTTCCCAAGCTGCGTCTCCCCCAGACCTCGGTGTAACACCAGCCCTCAAACTGCCAAGCCCTCTCCATCTGAAGGGTGCAGAGTCACAGGCTCTCCCTCCCACTCAGAGTATGGTGGAATCACCAAGACAACGTCACGCAAAATCTACACAAAAAACTGGTACTAGAGCAGCACAGCTGAAGCTTTCAGGGCTCAATGAGATCTCAGTGAGGCGCCTGTGTGAAGCTGCGAGGCAGGTAGCTTTGTTGCAGATTACAGTGAGGGTCTGAATGAATTTTCGTGGATGACTCATCACGTCCTCCCCTCCTTTTCCTCCCACACACACCCTCAGTCAACAGCTATCCAGCCTGACCTACCGCACAGCAAACTGCAGGACTTCAGATGAGGCTTTTAGAGAGAATACCTTCACTGTCAATACCTCATTTTAATATTTCAATTGAAGAAATGCAGCAGAGATATGCTGGTAATTAACTTCCGAGTGAGTGCTGCAGAGAAGTCTCTGGAGGAATGTAGCAGGAATATTAACAGCAACATGCTGACAGTGCACTTTTCTTTATCAGTACATGCTCCCTGATTTGTTTTAATAAATGCTAGAGCATACACACAAACTGAGGAGAGAGACAAAAGAATATTTGATATAAATCATCTCGCATTTTGAGATTAATGTACAAGATTCTTGTAAAAATGTGGAACAATGTTTGGGGACAAATAAATATAGTTTTTTTAAGTTGTTGAACATTTTGCTTTGATGATTTCAAAAAAGGTGTTAATTCCAGATATGATTAAATGTATGCTTAAGATGTACGATTGTGTGTGACTCAAATCTAAAGACGGATATAACAATACAAGCTAAGATAAAGAAAGATATCTGCATAAAAACTAATGGGAAATTGAACTTGGAAACAAACACTTGCCTCCTCTCAGATGTTTAATGATCTTTGAATGCCTCCTGTGTATCCGGTGCTGCAGCAGCTCTTTAAGTCACAGCAACATTAAGGTGTGACCTGCAGGCTTGCGATGGACGGGGAGATTTATTCTCCCCACTGGCCTTTCTGTCACTGACTCACTCTTTGCGCACGCAGTCAGAGTATAGGAAACTTATAGGCTGGAGGATAAAAATAGCCGGCCATGATGCAGGGGAATTGGATTAAAGTGAAGGTGCAATCCTTTATCTCTCAGGTGTCTGCCAACAGGTGGTTACACACTCCGAACCGGGGGTGATAATAACAGCCCCCAGGCATTTCTGTGAGGATGTACACACCCAATTGTGGTCATTTATTGCCCCATTTCCCCATTGTAGTGTTTCTTTGTTACACCTGTCATGATTAGTTATTTGTGCGGCTTCTTTCTACATTACTGGCATTCTTCCAGGGACAAACCCAAAATGTACCTACGCTGCATGTGCTGGCAGGGCTAATACATTATAACATCTGACTCAGATGAAATGCTTAGGATGCATAACCTCGATGCAAAGCAGGAAACCCCTCACTCACCCTGTAACCTCACTGAACCCACTCTGCCTTTATTTGAGGAACTTTACTCACATAACATAACACCTTTGAGAAATAAGACGGGAAAATAGTTTATTTTTAGCCAAATTAGATGATTTTTACTTTTGCTGAATGTACATTTCCTCTCTGTTGGAGGAACCAGGTTTGTCTTGCCTTTGTTGAACCCAGTCTGTCTTTTTTTGACGGACTTTACTCACATTTATATACCTAACACTTTTGATAAATATGGAAGTAAAAGTGTGTTAAAACCAGAAGAAGAGTTTCATTTCAACCAAACGAGATTATTGCCCTAAATGTACCTTTATTGTTCTTACCCAGTGGTGTAAAGTAATGTTGTTCAAGAAGTGTACTTCAGTACAATTTTGAGATACTAATACTTTACATGAGTATATACACATTTGTTGCTAATTCATACGTCTACCCCACTAAAATCAGAGGTTAATCGTGTACTTTTACTCCACTACATTTATCTGTATTACTTTGCAGATTTGGATTAATGATATTAAACATAAGCAACACTTAATATATAAAGCTTACACTATACAAAGGAATTATAATGAGCTCCACCTTTACCAACTGTGATAAACACATTAATGCATCAATAATTATAATCAAAACATATGATATATATATTATTAGAACATTGGCCAATCTGCATAATGAGTACTTTAAGTATATTTTGATGCTAATACTTTTACATTCGCAATGCAGGACTTTTACTTAGAACTCCTACAATGTGGTATTTCTAATTTTACTTAAGAACAAGATCTGAGTAGGCCTACTTCCCAAGTGTCAACGCAAGGAAAACGGTTTCCTATTAACCAATTGAGATAATTGACTTGCATTTAACCTCATTGCTGTTACTGCTGTTACCCCAAGCGTCCCTTACTAACACAACTCAAAGTAGAGACTCAAACCTGGATTTGTCATGTCTCCCGTACTCGTCCTCACTACAGCTGCCCCCGAGGAAGTCAATAATGCTCGGGGACACCTCCACGGGCTCCTCGTCCTCCTCCGCCGCCTGGATGGCCACAGTGATCGTCACCGTCCCCATCTCCTGAGAGTGCTGATCCACGGTGATTACCTCATCGAAGCCGTGCTCCACTGACGCATCCAGGACGCACTGGTTCGGGATGGGGCTCTCCGTGGACCCGCTCATGTTCCCGGAACAAGGCAAGGTGCCTCCAGAAGCAGCAGAAGCAGAAATGCCTCCCTGGAAACCTCTACTCTCGCTCGGCTCAAAGGCACACACAGGGTACGGGGCGCGTAAAGCTGCTCGACGCTTCTTCGGGCACCAGTGATGGCGGAGAAGGACCCAAGGGGCTCCGAAGACGCGCTCCACGGCTTGCCAAAGACCCCCGATCCAGGCCTGTGGAGCGGAGGGGCTTGAGGCAGCAGCCAGCGAGACGCAGCCTGCAGGAGCTGGAGACACCGAGCTGGAGCCTCCTTGGGCTTCTACCGCTGCTAGTGGTGCTACTTCCTCATATGTAAGAGGCTTACTGCCTTTGAAACGAGCTCTGGGATTGGGCTCGTCGCTCTCACTGCCAGCCCACAAGCACAAGCTGACACAAAGCCAAGAGGGAGGCAGCAGGAAGGAGAGGCAGCGCATGAAGGCGTTCACCAAGGCGTGCATGTTATACCTCTTTCTCTTTTTTTCATACGTAGATTTTTTTCTTCCTTTTACACACACTGTGTTGTTGTATTTATCTGTGAGGACACGAGAGGCCGATTTACGTGGATCTAAGTAATGGAGCACATTCACGTGGTGTTCATCTCTTAATTGGCAAACTGCCGTGTCAAGGACGACCCCTTTTCTCTAATTAGATAATAGGCTCTCAGCCGGGTGGCACGCGATGAGGCAAGTGCTGTTTGTTTGTGCCGCGAGGAAACACACACATTAATGCATTCCTATGCATAGAGGCCAGAGCAGATATTGCAAATACCTAGGAGATCAGACATCCATATTATTTAGAGCTGACCACGCCTACAAAGACACAAATCAATAATTGATGTACTTATTCCACATTATATATTAAATATATTATATATGAATCTGTTCACATAAGAGCTACGACGATAAGTCAAATATGAAATAAGACAATTGACAAAGATAAGGTCATTTTCCATTCAAAAATTGTATAAAGAATTATGTTTTCAGCCAAAATGATTGAGATATCCGGATTTTCTCTGTTTCATTTTTAAATGAATCTGAATATTTTTGGGTTGGCGCTAAAGACATTTAAACTGAAATTTACATTATTTATTATTTTCTGACATTATAAAGGCCACATGATGAATACATTATTCCAAAAAATAGTCTGCAGATTAATCGATAATGACAATAATCATAAATTGCTTATTTAGTTATATGTTATAGTTATATCTTCCTGGGAATGATTCAGAAAACATGCATTTTTTTTAATTTAGTTATACTGAAAAGCTCTGAAATTGTTATAAGAATATTGACACTAAAATATCATATTATAATCTCACATCAAAGTCAAAATTCCCAGACACAATACTGAGGACATGACCTTATACTGTCCTCAATGATAACTGTTCATTGTATGATTCATTCCTATGAGACGAATGAAACATCGCTCAAATATAAGTAGAGTAAACATGATTATTATTATTATTGATTTGTCTCAGAGACCCACTGAGACATCCATACGCCAACATGCGGGATCATTTCCAGAATCACTGCTTTCATTGATGCTGATGTGAACATGTGTAGGTGTTCAGAGAGAGCATTAATATTACTACAGTCATCTAAATATGTCTGCTGTAGATGAAGTCCATTTTCATAGCTGCTAGTTGGCCTCCATCCTAACAGCCGTGTAAATCACCCTGCATGAAATATCTGCACTCCTCCCCTAGCCGGGCTCACAGCTGGTGGGCAGTCTGACTCACTCTCTGCACCACATGCTACACAATGCTCCAGTTTGTGTACAATGCAAGAGGGGGCTGAGGAAGAGATTGGCAAAAAATGAGCCGAGGTTTCGTATTGAGGACTGATTTCTTTTGTCAGATGAAGCCACATTTTCCTCCAGCCGGGTCATTGCTTCCATCAACGAGGTTATGTTTTTCAGTTTGTCAGGGTTACGAGAAAAACTATTGGCCCCATTTTCATGACACTTGGTGGAAGGGTGAAGCATTGACTATGGAGGAAGCTATATTACATTTTGGAATGGATCAAGTAATTGGGCGGATACATAAATACGTTTTTACTTGGACAAGGTCATTCTCCAAATGCCACTTTCAACTGTTTCCAAAGCAAAAACATGTGTTTCCAAGATTTTCTAGTAACACATTACATGTCATTTGTTAGACGCTTTTATCCAAAGCGTCTTACATACATTCAGTACTGTGGACAATCCCCACAGGAGCAATTTGGGGTGAAGTGTCTTGCCCAGGGACACAACGACATGCTGACTGCAGTGGGACTCGAACTTGCTACCCCCTGATTCGAAGTCCATCACACTATTCACTGAGCCACACGCCTTATTCTGCATTGTTTAATTGTGAACCCATTTCTATGAACAATACATTTCCTGAACAGAATGAAGATGAAGCTGTTTGTGAAACTCTGAAACAAGGAAGTGAAGTCAGGACGGCGCTGTTAGCACCTGCTGATCACTTCCTATTTTTTCCACGCGTGACGTAGATGTCCCAGTTTGAAGAGATGGCCTCCTTTCAACCATCTGCCCACAATGTGTGCAAAAGAAACCACAAAAATTGCTTTTGAAAGGTCTCTTTCAGTATACAATACAATTCAACAGCACTGCAAACTGCTGTACAGCCTCCAAAATGTCCATTTATTCTCAACAAATCCAAATAAGTGGAACTTTATGAACTCAGGATGTAATAACTTATTACGTTTATCTCGTTTGACTAATAAGCTGGAAACTAAGTGCCTTTCTTAATCCCTGTCTGGGCAATGCTTTCTAACATGCACCATTGCTCTTTAATTCTTTCACAATGACCATTTTCCCTCCCATATTGCATCACTATCTCTTCAAAGAAACATCTCTCTTTGAATTGTCTCTCCTAAGGATTCTCCTGCAGAGGATGTGCCTTCCTTTCCTTTCCATGTCCCTTACAGTATATTTTTTAATGATTCCAGTCTTGGACCATTGTAAACTAGTTTATTTAAATCAACCTCTCTTTATGAGAGTCTGATGTGATCCTATTGATACTATTAAGCTTAGATGAGTATTTCTCCATTCTACTGTATGACCTTAAAGTCTAACTTTAAAATCTTCATACAACTTGTTTCTGTTTACTGTTTGACTGTACAGTAGGTGTCCAAGGAAGCGTATTTGCAGAAGATGAGTACAGACACATCCTATTAAGATATGTTAATTTACTGTTTAGTACAAAGAGTATTCATTATACTATCTTTAAGACCAATCCTGCTACACTGCTATATCAATGAACACTTGAAATGAGATTTTTGAAATATGTCAACAACTATTTCATAAATTGTGACCACATTTGGTAGAGGAATTCATACTTCCCAGTGGACTTCAGTGATCCACTGGCTTTTCCTTTGGTATCACCATGAGGTTGACATTTGTGATTTTGACTGAAATATCTTAGTAACTTTTGGACAGTGTCCCTTGAAATGTGTTTTAAGGTTTCATTGTTCACATGCTAATGTTAGCATGCCAAACTATGGGAACAAGGTAAACATTACAGCTGCTATAGACATCAGCATGTTAGCTTTCTCGTTCTGAGCATGTTAGCTATTGTTAGAATTTAGTTTCAAGCATTACTGGGCCATAGTTCAGCCGCACAAAGCTGCTAGCATGACTGTTGACTCACTTCTCACTGCAAATATCACTAGCTTACCATGACATCTGTATTACGAACAGGTTTAAATGCAACAGATCCACGTGCAGTTCATCAGCTTGTGCTGTTCCCTTTGACGTACTCTTATTAGATGCAAGATAGATTTCCATTGTTAAAACCTGCCCTACCACTTGCATAGCTGCAGTCATTGTTGTTGTTAGCGGGAGGTATAGCAACAGGGGAATCTGCTGACTCAATTTTGGCCGCAGTGTGAAGTTTCAACAAATCATTTTTGAATTCAGAAAGTATTCTTAAATTGTATTTTAACTCACAGAAGCTCTCCTCTATTTCTATTTGTTTTTATATCTGACAGGGAAAGCTAATGTTAGGAAGAAACAGAGAACATCATCATAAAGACAGGTAGTAGTATATCAGTATTATTGTGTTTTTGATTTTTTTATATCAGGCTTCTTAACTAACCCATTCCTTGTTTATGTTTACCTTTGATTAATTCTGGGCTCTGTCAATTCTGTGTGAGATAGAAGGGCGCTCACCTATGAAACAGCTATTCCAAATTTCATTTTAGTCTACCTCCCTCAAGGAATCTTAAAATTATCCTGTCTCTGTCTGAGGAATCAAACTATTGGATCATACAGTAACTGATAATTCACAATTTTCTCATGTAAGAACTGAACATGTGTATATTTGCACAGTCATGTAGACACATTTCACACACATATGCACACACACACACACATATGCACACACACACACACACACACACACACACACACACACACACACACACACACACACACACACACACACACACACGTTTATTGATTCATGTTGCTTACTTGATGTCTGCTTTTACCTTTGTTGATTGTATGACTTTTGATAGTGTGCTGTTTTTTACAACTTGCTTCTTTTGTTGTAGTCTGATATAAAAACATATATAAAAGACATTAGCTTACATATTCACAATACAACATAAAACGCAAGTAACAGCAACAGAGATACCCACAAGTAACGTGCAATCACCGCTAGATGCACTTCAATACAGGGGCATCTCCTCTTGCACTTGATGTAGCCCTTTTATCTTCTCCTGCACTTTATATTTCGTAGCTGCTACATTGTACTGCCATGTGGTAAATGCTTATATGCTGCTCTTGCTCTTTCTGCATATCATGTATTTATTTTGCTATGTATATAAATGTCATGTTCTTAAATGTTGTATGTGAGGGACTACGGATGGAAACTAGCTCAAAGCTAGCGTTTTTAAAGCATTATTTGTTTTAAATGTTCATCAATGTGCACTGTCCCTCGTCAAATAAACGATTAAATGAAGTCTTCGTAACACCAAGACACATTTTGTGTACTTAATTTTTGCATGATGGGCTGATTTTAGTCATGATTTCATCTTAATTTAAATTCATCTGCGATACTGTCTAATATATCTTTATTGATTTGAAGTCTTTGTTCACTAAACAAGCAGCAGCAGGACACAAGAAGCTGTCAGAGGATTATACTATCAGATGATGTTACAATAATGGCTTCCTACCTTTTGTCTTTGCAAATCTTGATATTATTTTTACGATGTGACATGGCAGATGGAAAGGGTCATGGCAACCAGTCGGTTTCCCCTCCTCCTGTCTGTTTCTTACTTCAATGTTTGAGCAATTTTGCTAGGAAATGGGGGATGGTTGTGAAGCTGTGAGGAAACGTTTGCAACCCCCATCTCTTGCAGCCACCAGCAGCCATGGTGCTGTTTAGGCATGCAAATGTGTTCTTAGATTTCTGAATTTCAACAAAAGACACACATTTTGCATTCAATTAAATAAAACAAATGCATAATGTAAACAAACACCTTTAATGTCCTTTTCTTGTGCTGCATATCATATGTTTTCTGTAATGTCATCACTAATCCTTCTGAATAAATCCTGTAACATGTTATAAAGGTCCAGGTTCAGGTTCAGGTTCAGGTTCAGGTTCAGGTTCAGGTTATTTATTTGTACCGTAGGTAGATTTTGTTTGCAGAGAAAAAGACAAGGGATTCATCCTGACACGAAAAACAAACACAAACAACAGACTAGTAAAAAGTACAAGTATACGTATATACAAAAACATTTTAAAGGGAGTGGATTTCAGTGTAAAAGTGAGCAATACCATTAAACTGTACCTGAATCTCTTAATATGTATTGTCACACTCAAAGACCTTTCTGGTTTCTTCTTATGTCTCCTATACACATGTTGTTGCAAAAAGAATGAAATAAAGCCGGACATCTGTAACCCAGAGCTGTCTAGTAATGTATTTCGCCCTCTGAGTGTGTTTGGCTTATATCATTTCAGTGGTTGCAGACAAACTGTAAGAGAAATGTTTCATAACTACACTGACAGGAAAAACCAGGCAGGAGTCATGCTGTGCTGCTGCCAACAAATCAGCACTGCTGCTGCAATTGCACCCTGTTTGTTTCTTTCCATTTCCCATGATAACAAATGGTATGTTTCTTTCTGACAGTCAACAGTAGGTATCAATTGTATTGTGCTGTATATCAGACCGAATGTGAATAGTTTTTTGGAGTGCGTATGTCTGGTTTTAAGAAAAATTGACTTATTTTCACACCTGCTTTTACCCATCTCCCTTCTGACAGAAAACCGACTCTATCACTAAGATACAACAAGAAATACATGGAGCAAGGCCAAATGAGATCCCAATAGAAGGTGAGAGATACAGGAATGACACCTTTTATTGGCTCTGTTTTCCTCTCATGCATTATATCTAAAGACATAACTGCAGATATATTTAGACACAACTTACATTTATATTGTATTGCTTCCAATATGGCCTGTCATACAAACTGTTGATGATCACCTCCCATATTATTTGTCAGCTTGTGCTTCGTGAATAGATTTTGACAGGCAGTGTGTGGGATGTCCTCTTTGATGAATCTGGACCTGTGTTCGCTGAGCAACTGCTCATTACTGCCAGAGTAAGAAAGACTGAAAAATACTCAACACTCTATGTGTGGTGTTCGCTGGTGTTGCTGACTGCAGATTAAACGGGTTGTCGCATGATTTATTTTGTTAAGAAGGCAGAAAAAGAGCGTTATCCTCAGGGACATGATGAAGAATTCACAAGATGTATTTTCCAGCAACTTAACAAAGCCATTTAAAAGGGGCCCTATTATGGACTTTCTTAGGTTCATATTAGTGACCATTTTGAACAAGTTGTGCCTTTGCTACTGTGAAAGCAGGACAATATATTTTTTTCAAATGTTGTACACATTAAATTCAATACATTTACATGTAGTACACACTTTATAATAAGCCTCCTAAGACCAGGCAATTAAATGTTTCTTCTGTGGGAGACATGTCACTCAGGCCTTTATTCCAAACACCATGCCTCCAGTTTGTTTCTGAACTGTTTTAGTGATGTAACACACATGAAAATATCTTTTGTCTTTTGAAAAGCAAGGGATTGGTTTTATTTATGAGAGTCTTAAAGGTCCCATGTCATGCTTTTCCGGTTAATACCCGTCCCCTTGTATGTTATGAAGGTTTTTCTGCATGTAAACGGTCTGCAGAGTCACAAACCCTCAAAGTACACCCTGTAGCGAGTAAAACTCTAACACAGAAAAGACCTGTCTATGCTGCCCCAGAACGCCTCGTTGGAGATTTCTCTTTTTCCATTGTTTTCTTCCTGGGTTCTCTGACGTGCCCATACCCAAATGGACCAATCCGTGGAGCCGTTACATTACGTCCGCGGAGCCGTTACATTACATCCGCGGAGCCGTTACGTTAAGTCCGTGGATTGGTCCAAATTGACCAATCCGCGAACTTCCTCACACACACACTTAATCTTTTCTCAGCTGCAGCTCCGCCGATTTCTCCTCCCTGAGACGACGGGACGTGGCGAGGCTGTGAGTCGGTGTGTGAGCACACACACAAACTCCCAGCCAGGCTGCGGGTGTGTGTGTGTGTGTTCGGGCTGGTTTCGGGCTGGGTTTCGCTGTGTCTCGCTGTCTCGCAGACGGCCACTGGGCTCCTAGGGAGGGGGGGGGCAGGAGCTCCAACAAGCCGTTTAGGACAGAGAGTGAATACACGTACTATACAGAGATGCTGTATGAGAAACCAATGTGAGTTTGGAAAATTGCACAATATAAATCTATTTTAGTATACCTCAACAATGGAATTATGATCAGTAGAAATGGCCATGACATGGGACCTTTAATTATGTTATTGTTAGTGTATTCATTTCTAAAGCTTTTAAAACACACATTTGAAGACATGTCCTTTCCAGGGGACATTGGGACTTCTTCTAGTTTTAAACAACGTTCCATACTTCAGGAAACAGAGCACTGAGGGGGGCAATACGATTTTTTTTAAATGGTTGGGGCAAAATTCAGACGTTATTGAGTTGTCAGGACATGAGAAAGAAATGATCTACGCAGGTTTTAAAATGTGTTTGATATTTTATTTTATTGATGAATTATCAACCGAGAAGGATTTATAATGAAAATCATTTAATAGTTTTTCAATCAAATGTCATTTTTTATGTTTAAGATTTGTTTAAGTTTTGGTCTATATTCTTCAAAAGGGATCTTGTGAACAACTTGCAGTCAAATGCACAAAGAACCTCAGTCAAGGTATAATTTTGAGATATAGTAAACATAATGGCCAAAAAAAGAGCATAGCATAATTAAAAAGATATTTGAGAAATGTAATGACTCACTGTTATGGCTTCAGCCATCATTAGTGTGATATGTTGCTCCTGCCTTCTCTGTGAGAAAGCTCTGTTTTCAATGTTCCTGTGGTCATTATCATAGCAATTTCAGAATTACATAAATTTGACCCAGAATACAAGTCAAAATAAAATGTTCACAGGTGTCGCCACAGTTTAATTTGAATTAAGTTTAGAATTATGATGGCTAAGGTTACGTGTGATAGCTCACAATTATGTGTAATTTGCATGTACTGACTTTAGGCTACTGAATACGGTTTTCTGAGGTCATGTCAGACTGAAGTGCATAAAACACCAACATTTCCTTTTATGCATATTTTATTGTAATTCATAGGGCAAATATACAACTCAGAATTTAGATATGGAGCTCCTAAATATTTAAATAGCATTTCCACCTCACAATAAATTAAAACAGCATATGGGAGCATGATTTAAAAAAAATCTCATAACATTGACACTCCATATTCGATAAAAGATATCCTCATATTGCTGTTATGACACAACTTCAGGCTGCGCCAAACACATACAAAAGTAGTTCCCAAGGCATTCATTAATTATAGGGACTGTGGGAAAGTGGGAAAATTCCCCAAAACTACTTTATCCCTGAACCATCTTTTCAACCAGTTTACACCAACCCAGTCTCACATGTTGTGGACCAACGTAGTTATTAGACGTTTAGATGTGAGACTCGGTTGGTTTACACGGGTAGGCTTTTGTATGTATTCCTTTTTCACTACTGAGTCTCCCACTTTGAAAACCTCTCCTCTAGTGAATTTGTGTTGCTGGAAAAAGCAGAGTGCACCTCACATCTCAAATAGTAAACTGCAGAGGCTTGTACTGTTTACTCAGGCTACAGTGAACATTGGACCATTTATTTTTCTTCAGAAGGGGATGTGCAATTGGCTGACATTTACCCTTCACCTGTTTGAACAGAGATATATCGTTAGTGTTATGTAAAATGACAATCAGACTTTACGCTTAAAGGGGGCTTTCTAAATCTGACAGAGTTAGTGTTATGGCTGCCGATTTGGCACCCTCTCTGTAACTTTGGACCAAGATGGTCATAATCTCACCAAAAAGAAAGCCTGTAAACTTTCCTCATTGTTTGACTTATTTATGTTACTTGAATATATACTTACTCTGTTGTTAATTATTGTTTTTAGTTTGTACGTTGTTATGTGCCAGGCAGGCTGTTCTTGTGTGTTTTCCCTCCTCCTGCTCTTTGCACTTCTCCTCCTTTCTACATTTTAAGTAAAGGGTATACCTCTACATTTCACCATGTATGTAAAACTGTGTCAGACACTCTAGGTTATTAGATTATTGCCAGCCCTTTATTGTTTTATTTTCCCATTGTTAGTAGATCAGACAGTGAGGGCTTTTTGTTTGTGCTTTGTTTCAAAGGATATATTTAGATATAGGCCTTCTTTTGTTATATTTTATTTTATTTGGCAACATTGCCTTTGTCTTCTCCTCCCACCCCCTTAAAAAACATGTGTTGGCATTTTTCCATGATGAACATTAAATATACGTGCTCACTTTTATTCTGACTCCCTCAATTTATTGGTTGTGGTGTTACTGTCTCCATTTCACCTAAACACATTTTGGGGACATCATTGTAAAGAATCAAAGATGTAAACTGTTTTGCTATCTATACCGTACTGGCACTATTTAATGTTATTGACTGACATGTTGTGCCCTAAAGGTTTGTATATGAATCTTGGAAATAAAGTGTAAGTTCAATAAATACATATTCAGGACTAGTTTCACTACGGAGTTCTGTTTTCGGGACACGGGAAGTGGGTGTAACCAGGCAACGCCAAAGTTACCATGGCAACAAGGCTTGTCTCCGAGGAAGTTTGTAATGCCTGAACAGAGATCAATATAGATCGTTTTTTTGTTTCGTACCGTAGCAGATAAGTTATTTAACATGTTCATAATGTTAGTACCGCTTCTTAAATAGAGTTGTAGGTATGTTTCAATGTTGTTTTGAATTATTGACATTATCTAAATGGAGCCGGAGAGAAATGAGGGTAAAACGATGCGAGCTCAGAAACACAACAACAGGGATAAATGGATGTCTCTCACCCCCATGGTAAATACAACTTTTAATACACTGTTATCATTTCTTGACAGTATAATATTTAGTCTAACCATTCAACGTTGAGGCCTCAGGCTCATTTAGTAATACTGCTAACTAAAGAAGAGGTTAGCAACATAGCTTAACTAGCTATCTACATGCTAATGATTAGGGGGCCTATGTCTTATCCAGAGAAGTACCAGAGTGTAGGAATACTCTGTTACAAGTAAAAGTCCTGCAGTGCAAATTGTACTCAAGTAAAAGTAATATAGCATCAACATATATTTAAAGTACCAAAAGTAAAAGTACATGCAGTTTGATCCATTTCAGATGATATGTTTTATAATGATTGATCATTAAAGTGTTATCAAAGCTGGTAAAGGTGCAGCTAGTTTGAATGACTTTGTATACTGCACGGTAGCTTGTGAATTTACTCCAGGTGGAACTAAAGTCTGATTTAACACTTGATTATATTTCACATCATTAATCCAAATCTGTAAAATAATTGTAGGTATTTATTAAATGAATGTAGTGGAGTAAAAGTACACCATTTACCTCTGAATTGTTGTGGAGTAGAAGTACAAAGTAACACAACATTGAATTACTCAAGTACAAGTACCTCAAAATTATTGTACTTGAGTAAATGTACTTTAGTTACTCTACTCCACCGGTCGATGTCTCTATTTATTAGTAAATTGTTAGTGAAGTACTTTTACTCAAGTCCTGCACTCAAACACAAATAACTTATAATTTACTTGAGTATTTTCATTGTATGCAACTGTATACACCACACAAGGTAAAAGTGTAGTTCTTGTTTGACAGCTTTAGTTACTTTTCATATTACAGTTTTCAGTTCAAATTATTTTACTGACAAATTGGTACTTTTACTTTTTATACCATTAGTTATTTCTGCTGATTGTACTTGTACTAGTATTTGTTTTTTAATGCCTGACTTTCACGTCAAACAAAGTATTTTCACAGTGGTATTAGTACTTTTATTGAATCTCCCGCTATTGTTTGCAGGTCAACAGCTGCAAGTTGCACATCACTGCTGCCAAAGCAACCGAGAGAGCCCAGAGGATGGTGAGGCAGGACGAAGAACACACTGAAGGACGAGCTATATGATTCATAGCGTAGACCTTCTGATGCAAGCGTTACAATGTATTATGTTTGTTGCTTCACAGACTGAATCTCAAGATCTTGTAAAAGAGACGAACATGAATCACGGCCAAACAATGAATCATTTTTACCAAGGTAAGCTTGACCCAGTTTCCTGTCTTTTATATCTACAGAATTAAAGTTTGATTGAATAAAATTGTAGATATAGGACAATAACATCGATTTATTTAGAAAAATCCTATAGCATACTAACTACTATCTTATTGACCGTTTGCACCATCCCTCTGTAGAGAGAAGGTTGCATTCTTCCAGAAGACTTGTCCACACTCCTCCAGTGCCAACATTTGCCAGCGACTGTACAGACTCCCCTCTACATAATCTAGTGCCATTAGCCTGTGTTGCTCAAAGTGGTTTGGATGCAGTTTCACATTCCTCACAAGATGCAAGAGGAAAGTCTAGGAGGCCAACCAAGTCTGCAGGGGCCACTTTCTACCGTAATGCCTTAAACCTTGCCAAGCCTGCAGGTAAATATGACAATATTAGAGCCATTTAGAGTTTGTACCATACATATATAGCATATTTTTGTGTATCCTGACCTCAGTGTGTAATGTATAGGTGGTTCTGGAGGATATAATGCAGTTCCTGGTAATGCCTTCACTCAATTACCCGGTGACAGCTTTGTTTCCAATTTTCAACGAATCGACTTGGACAGGTACCTTTGGTTTTTTCTAAATGATATTTATATGTATGTTGGTTTACCTGTCACTGTAAACTGGACATTTGATTTAGTTATATGAATCTTTACTCACAATTTTGTTCAAATTCTTCCTTCCTATCGATGCCATTTAGTTTGGTTTTCTTTATGAACTCAGTCACACACAGTATTTGCAGGAGAATAATTAAGGATTTAACATAAAGTGGTAAGAGCTCAAGTTTGCCACCAGGGAGCAGCAGTCCCATATAAGAGCTCCTTCCCTGGTGACTAAGCAGAAAAAAGTAATTTGCATCAGTAAAAATCATAGCTTGAAGGTTAAATTCAGTTGGAATGTCCTGAAAAATAGAGTCCTGAATTGTAGTCAACCATGTAAACCCTAAATCTTGCGAAATGTTCTTGTAATTTCCAGGCGCTGTCTGGAGGAATGCCCCCAGCTGGGCAGTATGGATGAACTCCAGCTTCTCAACCTCCAGCACAATCTAATCACAAAGGTTCTGCATCTGTCACATCTGCAGCAGCTGGTTTTCCTGAACCTGTACGACAATCACCTCTCTGAGATGACTGGCATCGAATCTCTAAGCTCTCTCAGGATCCTCATGCTGGGGAAGAACAGGTCGGTGGTCATCAGTGGATTCATAAGCAAACAAATACACACATTTGAACGGATTTATTTTGAATTGCCTCTGCTAACCAGTAGGGCTGTCCCGAATACCATTTTTTGGGCTCCGGATATTCGGTAGTAATCAACAGCGAATATTCGACCCGCGCGGGGGGGGGGTGGGGTTCAGCAGCGAACCGCTTCAACACGTGTATTTCGGTTTATTCACGGTTTTCATTTTGTTATTCTACAGTATTGTTGTTTTATAGTTATTTGTTAATGTATATAACCCAATTTGTGTTGCTAAAATGATTGGTCGTGCTTTTTACAGTATTACGGCTTCCACAGATGACATTTTTTATGGATTTTTTGTTAAAGCACTGAAGATATTCATTGCTATCGGGATGTTAAGAGCATTCCATGGAATATAACAAAAAGTGTATCTCGAGCCGGTTTCTCAAACTTACCTACCCTACCTTTAAGTGCTTTGACAAAAAATCCATTAAAAAATGTCATCTGTGGAAGCCGTAGTACTGTAAAAAGCACGACCAATCATTTTAGCCGGCCCAGCTAAAATAACTGGATGGCCTACCTGCTTGTCAGTCTTCCATCTGTGTGTTGGAGGAGGGGCTTTGTAAGGAAGTGGCAGATTTTTTCCGGCTGTGTATTTTCAAATTCTAGCGCACTCGAGCTGGGTTGCGGTCGAATAGTCCAAAAATCAGCTCCTAAGTTCTAACCCTATCTTCTATTCCTTGACCTCTGAGTGAAACGTCACGGGGTTAAGGGATAGTGGATAGGAGAATTCAAAAGGATTTAGGAGAAGAGACTGCGGTACTTTAGAGAATCCGACTGCACTTTCACTATCCGACGTGTTTATGATGCGCCAGCGGAGGTCATAAATGTGTGTCTGCTGCTGTGGGGAAACTATGGAAACTACAGTTTTCTATACAGCGGACTACAACATGGATGTTTAATAAGAACGAGGGACTACTGTAAACTCATCTAGAGACTCTGCACCGTGCTCTGATGCTGTTGTTTTATGCTTTATGAACGGGGACAACAGAGAAACATATTCTTCATGACCAAAGTTGGAATTGAAATAAAAAAGGAAAGTGAAACTTATGCTCGTCACCCTCTCCCTCCGGTCCACATTAATACAAATGATCCCAATACGTATGATTGTATGAAAAGATCGTAAAATAAATACAAATGTATTTATTATAAACGTTAGTCCTTAACATCTATCACTGTGTATATCACCATTCAAACATCTTTTAAAAGTTGAACAAACCCCACACAGCTCAGTAAAGACTGTGAAATGTTGACTTTATTTGATCATTTCAGTAAAAACTAACGTTCATATTTCTCTTTTTGATTATAATACTGATGAACGTTCAAAACAAAGCACTTTGGCAACTTACCACATACGTTTTAAAATGCTTAATAAGCACTGTAACTTTCATGATATCATTTCTCGTTCATAATCGGTTGTTTCCGTGAACGGCCGACTGTTGTGTGACGGCAAATGCCGCGGCCGCAAGGCATTGTGGGGCAGCAATTTCTCCTCTCCTTTCGGTTAGGGAGGTCCAGTGGTTCCCAAGCTAAAGGAGGTTATAAAGGAAGTTTGAAACATCCTTTCCTTTCATCTAGAGAATTCGGACGGCACTTATCATGGCTGCCACTGAGGGACTTCCGGGTCATTTCACTCCGTTAGGAAGGTTCCTAAGCTAAATGGACTATTCGACCGCAACCCTGGTTTCTCCAAAATTACCTACCCCACCTTTAAGTGTAATGAAGGAGAGTTAGCGCTGTTGACAGGAAGTTGTTGTTGCTATGGAAACAACGTGACGGAGATTAACGGAGAAAAAGTTAGATCTACATATAAAGACGGAGAAAGTAGACGATAACGTTTATGGTTAAGTGTTAGCACCCCCCGAAGAGGCACAAGCTCTTACGTTGATATTGGAGTTTTCAATAAATTCTATTTGGCAGCCGCAGTGCAGCGCGGTAAAAATCTAAACAGATAAATGATGCACTGCATTTGTGGTTACAAGCCAACATTTTGAAAAGTATGTGATGGGTGTGTGCCGTTCTTTTATAAAACATTTTGAGATTTATGGTTTCATTCGACATGTGTAAAAGTGACTTATATGTAATTCTATACATCCATTTCCCAGCAGGTCCCCTGATCAATTTCATATTGTTAGTAATCTCTATTCCAGAAGGTCAACAGAAGGAATATTAAAGTCATAAATCACTGTAAATGACATGAAGATCTTACTGACCTTCTCTGGCATCTGTTTCACTTTCTGTAAATCATGACATTTCTCTTTTTAAACCGCCTTCCCGGGCCGTATGTTTAGTAAAGAATACAACTGATTAGGCTTTCCATTGGCCTTTTTCAAGAGACTCTAGCCGTTTATGCTTACAGGTAGTCGGATATAAACTCACATGGACATTAAGTTACTGTACACTACTGTATGTCCGGTTTCCTCTTGGAAAGTGACATATTAATGCGTTTGTTGGTTGGTTAGCTGTCCTCATTATGACCTCTCCAATAGACACTCACAAAGACACACATTCCCATTTATTTCTATGCACCAGGTACTTTTCAGAATGGGCAAAAAGGGTTTTCAGAGGTGGAAGAAGTACTCAAATGTTTTACCCAAAAGTAGAAATACTATGATCTTAAAATACTTAATAACAAGTAAAAGTCCTAGAAGTACGAGTAGAAGTACACAAGTATAATCACAGTATGCCCAATGGCTTTTTTCACATTATAACTTTAAAATATTGTAGTTGAACTTTGCAATTCAAATACTATTATTCAGTTTCATCAACATATACATGTTGCATTTAAAATCCCTTTTATTAAACATGTATATATTTAGCATTAAATTGAATTACTTAAAGGTGGGGTACGTAATTCACTTCAGAAACACTTGTTGTTATATTCCATGGAATGCTCTTAACATCCCGATAGCAATGAATATATTAAATGCTTTGACAATAAATACATACAAACATTTCATCTGTGGAAGCCGTGGCGCTGTAAAAAGCACGACCAATCATTTTAGCCGGGCGGCCTACCTGCCTGTCAGCCTTCCATCTGTGCACAAACTTATCTCGTGCCCTCATTGGTCATGTGCGCGTTCGTGTGTGTTGGAGGAGGGGCTCTGTAAGGAAGTCTGAAGGAAGGGGCAGATTTTTTTCGGCTGCGTACTTTCAAATTCTAGTGCACTCAAGCTGGTTTCTCCATTCTTACCTACCCTAACTTTAAGTAAAGTACAAGTATGTTTAAATAGTCAATTACTTGAGTATACTGTATATACTTTGTACTTTGACTGTGGTATTGATCGTTTACATTTTCACAAATATTGTATTGTACATTTAATGTCATATCACAGAATCCATAAGATCTGCTGCCTGGAAAGCCTCTCCAAACTGAACATCCTGGATTTACATGACAATCAGGTACTGTCCCCTTCACTCTCCTCCCACCTTCATCGCGAGTGTGTTTAGTCTTAGTCATTTAGCTGCAGATACTCTAACTGTAGACAGTAACAGCTGCAAGGTTCATCACAAGTGGACGGTCTCTTTCACCTCCTCCGCACAAAAGAGAGGTTTTCTGTGTGAGATGCTCGAGTCAAACAGATATGACAGCAGGAGGCCAGGCATGAGAATCTACGTCATTTTAATCTTAGAGCCCTGGCCAATAAAGTTATCATGGCGGGCATTGTAGCCATGTTTTCCACTTGTTTATTTCAAAAATCTTCTAAAGAAATCCAGCTATATTTTGCAAATTGAGTGCCATGAACTGTTTTATAAACAAAATATGTCATTCCTTCACTTATTGATATTCTAACATCTTTTTTATGTCAGAAATCTGATGAGAAATGGAATAATAATCAGTCGACCTATCTCAGTTTTATGGACTTAACTTCAGTGTTTATTTAGTTGCCAACAGTGGATTGAAAAGCATCAAGCTCTTGTCAAGGTAATAATACTCCCACATCCATTCCCTCAGTGATCCTAGAATTTATTCAACAGGCACAATGTTTCTATGTCGAGTCTGAGAAAAAAACAACTATTATTATTGCCTTTCTGTTCAGCCTGGCTCGCTGATATTAAAAAGCCTTGGAAATGAGATGACGTAAGGAACACTAATGGGGATTTCAGAAGCTCCTGGAAAAGTGACGCTTCCCTCGGTCAGATCATGCCGCCTACACCCCTCCTCAGAGACCCGGTGTAGCCCCCCCCCCCCCCCTCTCTGATGTTGGCTGCGCTTTGCATAAGCAGGCGTCCCAATTACTGTTTCCTGAAAGAAAACGCTTTGTTGCCTCAGGTTCTGTCCACTCGAAGTGTTTCCTTACTACAGTTAATTTAAATAGTTCTTATAATATTAAAGGTCCCATGTCATGGCCATTTCTACTGATCATAATTCCATTGTTGAGATATACTAAAATAGATTTATATTGTGCAATTTTCCAAACTCACATTGGTTTCTCATACAGCATCTCTGTATAGTATGTGTATTCACTCTCTGTCCTAAACGGCTTGTTGGAGCTCCACTAGCACACCCCCCCAGCACAGCCCCCCCCCCCAGCGTGTCACAGCTGAGAGAGTGTGTGTGAGTGAGGAGCTCCACGGATTGGTCCATTTGGGTATGGGCACGTCACTGTACCCAGGAAGAGAAAGATAAATCTCCAACGAGGCGTTCTGGGTAGACAGGTCTTTTCTGTGTTGAGTTTTACTCGCTACAGGGTGTACTTTGAGGGTTTGTGACTTTGCAGACCGTTTACATGCATAAAAAGCTACATAACACACAAGGGGACGGGTAATAACCGGAAAAGCATGACATGGGACCTTTAAAATTAAATGAGCATAGTAGTAAAGAGATTTGTTTTTGTACTTTTCTTGCCTGTAATGAGAGTCCATTGCTTTCAGAGGTAGCCATTTGTTGGCAGAAGCCTATTGAGGAGCAGATGATAAACCTATTATTTTCACCTCCTGACCTTAAAATCTCCTGGTTTATGCGTTTAAAAAACTGTTCAAAAACTGTATTCAACTTTTTCCAAACTCACCAGATACCTGACCACCCAAATTTAACGTAAATTGTGTCACTCACAATGACAATAGAAAATGTTGATTGAAGTTAATTCAGTGAGAGTATATTGGCTGAATACATCAAAAATAATGTTCAAGTTGTTGTTTAGTCACTATTTACTTTATAACACCAGCTGCTTGTCCTCTTACCTTTTGCGTCGACCACAAGCAGTACATCACTGTCATCCTCTCTTCCTCCAATCCTCCAGCAGGGAGGCTCACATCACCCCCCACCCCCCCCACACCTCCTTTCCAACCTTTATTTCTGTAACAGGATGTCTTTTCATTTCCAGTTTTCTGGAAGCACTCCGAGAGGCAGATATTCTCTTTGGGAGTGTGCATCCAGCCCACTCTTGGCCTCAGTCACACAGCACTGGGGTTACAGAGCGACTTGGCGATGTTGGATAACCGATCTGTAGTTACGCGCTGATGTTTTCCACTCCAGCAGTTTGACTCTAATATTCAGAGGACAGTGGAGAAAGCCCTACAGGGTGTGTAAAACAAAGACAGTATCACAGGGTTAGAGAGGATTCTTAACCCTTAGATGCACGAGTGACTGGACCCTACACTCTTCCATAAGTGGGTCAAAAAGGACCCGTATTAGAATAATATGTGTTTTTATGTCATTTTTGTCATTTTGGTTAAGAAAAATCACTTGTATAATATTTAGTATTATATTTTGGTTCACACTAGAAATATTTTATATTTAATTTTTCACTATTTATAATTTAGACATTTTTCTTTCATTTTGAAAAAAAA